CCCCCCCCGAGTTAAAAAAACCCCCTCGCCCCCCCAGCCACTCGCTCCCGGCTTCCCCTGCCTTGCAGGGCCTGGACTTTCCGGCTGAGTTGCCCTGGGAGGCTGCAGGGGGGAGCCGATGGGACTAGTCTCTGGAGCGGGGCACTTTCTTGGAGCTGGGGGGGCGGGACACGGGACCCAGTTCCTCCCTCATGGTCCCTCTTCTCCCTTCGGCCCAGGTACGAACAACTCGGAGTCGCGCAAAACCAAAAAGAAGAAGCCGCACTTGAGCCTGGTGGGGGGCGCGCCGGGGCTGGGCTCCAGCAAGAAGAAGAAACCCAAACCGCCCGCGCCCCCCACCCCCAGCATCTACGACGACATCAACTGAGGGGCGGGGGAGGGTGGCGGCCCTGCCTGACGCCCATCGCGCCTCCTACCCCCCCGCTCGAGTAACTGTGAAGAGAAGGAATTGGACTGCCCCTGGCTTCGGGACAGGGTGCGGTGGCGCTGAAGGACGTCACTGCCTGGGGACACGGCTGACGTCGCGTCCCCATCCCCCCGTGTCTATTTATTCTGTGATTTTTACTGGATGTCCTATCATGACTCGGTGGTGCCTTGGCCACACTAGAGCCGGGCGGGGGGGACTGGACGAATACCTGGGCCTTGAAGGGAGGGATGCAGGAGCCTGGCCATGCCAGCCCTGCTCTGAAGGGGATGGACGGGGAGCAAGAGGCCCCACAGCTGTCCTGTTAGCAGCAGCGCTGACCCCTGAGGATGAGGGTCAATGGCAGTCGGGGGCCTGTCCTTTCAGGGCCTTCCCCTTAAGGCTGTGAGACTTGTGGTGCGGAGGGGCCTGACTGGCTCCAGGCGTCTGTTCATTTGCACCTGTTGGGACTGGGCCACGTGGCAGAGGGCGTGGTCTGATGTGGGGTGCTCTTCCCGGGGGGTGCTGGCCACGTGCCAGGCTCACTCCGTGCTGGTGCTCGTTGGTTGGGCAGGCCCCAGAGCGGGCACTTGTCGGTGTGCTGGGCACGGGAGAGCAGAGGCTGCAGGGTAACGTGGACACCTCAGCCTGGCGTGCCCTGGCTGGGCTTTGGGCTGCCTGGCTCTGTGGTGTGGCTGGCGCGTTCAGCCCGAGGGCGAGGTGCTGGAGCCGTCTCGGAACGGATGTGGGGCAGGGTGTGCCCTCGCCATGCTCCGCCTTGCCTCGTGTTGTCCTGCAGGGGGCGTGGCAGCCGGGCCTGTGCCCAAGTGTGGGCTCTGTCTGTGGCTGCCGAGGCTGGCGCACCGCTCCAGAAAACCAGGGGCGGCAAGAACCTACGAGCCCCCGTCCCTGGCGCCCGTCTCCCTGAGGCTTGGGAGGGCCGTGGGGGAGCGCTTAATTTTCCTCTTCTCCCTGGGTGGCCCCCCAGCTTCTGTTCTTCCCGAGGTGTGTCTTCCCCAAGAACCAGGCCCCGCTGGCTTCTCCTCTTTGGTCTGCTCTTCTCTGGTTTGTCTTGAATTTCCATCTCGGCGACTATCAGCAGTTGGTTGCAGCCAGCTGAGCTGTCCCAGCGGCGTGTGCGTGGGGCAAATCTCCTAATTTTCCTCTTCTCCCTGGGTGGCCCCCCAGCTTCTGTTCTTCCCGAGGTGTGTCTTCCCCAAGAACCAGGCCCCGCTGGCTTCTCCTCTTTGGTCTGCTCTTCTCTGGTTTGTCTTGAATTTCCATCTCGGCGACTATCAGCAGTTGGTTGCAGCCAGCTGAGCTGTCCCAGCGGCGTGTGCGTGGGGCAAATCTCCCAGGGACCAGAGACCTGAGCTGGCCGGTTTTGTTTCTAAGGTTTTCTGTGAGGAGCCGGCTGATTTGCAGTTGGGGGGAGAATTGAAGTGGCTGTCGGCTTCTCAGCCTTTTGCTAATGCACCTGGAATGCTCTGTGGCCTGCAGGTGGCAGCAGGTGTCTGACTTCCTGGGTGCTTGTGCCAGCCTGTCCGTCCGCATCTGAGAACTGACTGGTGGGGAGCCTTTCCGGTTAGAGCCGTGGCCCTGGGCCAGCCCTCTGGGGTGTGCTGCTTTGTGGGGGAGAGCTGGGGCACCCTCAATGAAAGGGCAGGAAGCCAACGGCATCCTCTGGCCCAGGGGGATGTAGCCCTCCCCTTTCATGCAGAGCTAGCTGCTTGGGTTGTGGTGGAGGCTGCATGGGGCGTAATCTCTGCCAGCTGCAGATGAATATGGGGGCGGGGTAGAGGGGTTCTTCACACTGAGGAGCAATGGAGGAGACCAGGAGCCAGAGTGTGGGGCACAAGGCCATGCCCCAGTCAGCTGTTGACATGGGAATGTGGCTCTGGTCTGGGATCTGTTCAACGGCTCGCTCCCTGCAATGGGTGGGTCCACCTGGGCTCGCCAGTGGTTTCCAGGCAGGGCCTCCCCTTGGAGCGGGGATCAACCCTGAGCAGAGGCTCTGCAGGCTGGCAAACAGGAAGGGCGTCTCCGAGGGCAAGTGAGGCATCTGGCGCCTTGCTGATTCCCTGTCCGAACTAACGTGCACCTGGCACCTGTTGTTCTGAGCTAGACTCTGGCTGGACTCCCTTGTCTGGCTTGAAGTCCAGCCCGTCTGGTTCGAGGGAAGGGGCTGGCTGCAGGGAAGAGGCAGTGGGGACTTTGTGTCTCTTGGGGAGGGGAGGGCCTGTCCCCTGGGGTTTGGGTGCAGGTAGGCTAAGCAGAAGTTGCCTCTTTCTCCCCTGCTCATTTGGGGGGGGGGAAGTCTTGTTTTTAATCTAGGTTAAGAATCATGATGCTCTTCACTGGGGTACCAGAGCGTGGCAGAGATTCGGGCCTCGCATGCAGTTGTCCCTGTGAACAGGGTGCTGACTTGCTGTGCCTTCTGCTAGTGGTGCGGCGGCAGCGGCGGGGCGGGGGCGGGGGCTGGGACTCTGTGGTGGTGGCCCTGTGCACTGCTTAACCCCTGGCTGAGACTGAGCCGTCTGTGGTCTCAGCCCCTCATCCACTCCCCCTCCTCCGGTCTTAGCAGAGGGGATCACTGCAGCTCGCTGGCTGCTTGCACAGGGGAACAGCAACTTGCTCCCTCCCTCCCTTTGAGCTGTGTTGCTGCTCCAGCCCAGAGCCAGGGAACTTAGCAGTGATCTCCAGTGGACTCCTGGCTTGTGGCTGGGCTGCTTAGAACTATGCCCTTCCCCTGGCTCTAGGGTGGCTGAGCTGGCTGTTGTCTCTCTAGTGAATCCAATAGACACAACTGCAGGCTTCTCACACCACTGTGGTTAGCCAAGTCAGAGGGATGCTGCTAGCTTCAGGGCAGGGCTGCAGGGTGCTCCCATGTGCCACTTTGAATCGAGCATGGCTAGTGGCTGTAGCTTGCCCTCAGCCAGAGGTTCCACAAAGGTGCTGAGATGATTGCTGTGGGCACCGGGGCATGTCAGTGTAGGAACAACGGCCTGTAGGGACCATGGACCGCTGTCCTGCAGAGCAGCGCTTGTGTTGCTCTAGACCTTTCTGTGGAAGGCGGGCAGCAGGAGTCCACCCTGCCGCAGTAAGATGTGGGAAGGGCAGTCTGCAACAGGCTCTTCCTTCTAAGGTTCAACTACTTGTTGGATTTGTGCTTTGGGGGTCACTACAGCACAGTGCAGAGAGGTTAAGACTTTTAAAAGAACCTGTCTAGGTGAATGGGTAGTAGCTCTAGGAGCAGCTGGCTAGCCACCTGCTCTCCAGGTATTGATGGCAGTGGAGCTAACTGCCACGGAGCCACTGTGTGCACACAAGCCCCAAACAACAACAACAAATGAGCCCAAGTTTACCCCCCACTGCCATAGCTGCTAGTAGAAATCCCTGGAAGCACAGCTGCATTAGTTTCAATGCAGTCTCAGAGAATAATCAAGGCTGCTTTTTTTTTTTTTAATACAGGCTCTGTATTCCTCCCCCTCCCATTTTTATTTGTAAGGTAAGCCTGCTTCACTTGAAACCCTGCATTCTATCATGATACTGGTCGTGAGGAGGGTTTTAATTTGTAACGATATAGAGAAACTGCACCTGTGACTTCTCATTTGTGTCCCTCAACACAACTGTCGGGGGGTGGGGAACGACACAGGCAGTGATCAAGTGGGGAAGGTGGGGTAAGTACTGTACTGTGGTCTTGAAATTTTTATTTTTGCATATGTAATTCATCCTGTACAGGTAGTTCCAACTTTGTAAGATCTGTGTATTCCCATTAGTAGATTGTGGCTGCCCATGTAAATAAAATGCATCTTGACTTGGTATCCAAGCTTCTTTAATGATGTTATACAGAAAAGTGCAGCTGTCCACCCTTCTGAGATGGGAAATAGTAAGTTACAGCAACTGTGGCTTTTTTTTTAACAGCCCCCTCCCAAGGGTCTATCATTAATCATAAAACTACATAAGGAAGAATGGAAACGAAATGTGCAAGCTGCCACACTGAAACTGATTGGAAGGGAGGGCCAGAATGCAGTGGTACCCTTGCGTCATGCACTGAGACCTGTCTTGCTGCTAGTGATTGAGAGTAGAAGCCAACGTCCCCGCTGTGACTGTCACACAAGAACAGAGTGCTTTTTTTTGTGCTAGTAGAACTACTTCAGGTTAGGGTGTGGGGTTTTGGTTTGTTAGTAAAAGCCCTGGTCAGAATCCGGTTATACTAGAATCACTCATTCTGGCTTAGCTTTTTCTGCTTCCTATGTCTACATGTGCCTCGGTACTTGTTTAATTGGCTGGGTGGGGTGACTTGACCCTTAAGGCTTCCCCCTTTGTCTATGGGGGAAACTGCCAAGAAGAATTGTAGTTCCACTCACAGGATAGTAATTTTGGAATAAGAATATTTGAGAAGTGTTCACAGGGGAAGCTATTTCAGAATGGCTTACCTTTAGTCTAGGTATTTTGGTCAATTTCCCTCTGTAGACAAGGTCTAAACCAGCCAGTTCACAGGTCTGTTTCTCAGGCCTTCCTTTTCATTACATGTTCAACCTATAGTGGTCCCCTCACCGCCTGTGGCTTTTCTTCTGGCCTGTAACAATCCTATTTCTTTGCTCATCCCATGGGGCATGACGAGCTCACTGTCTAACAAGGAAGGAGGGGATGCTTGCTTGAAGAAGAAAGAGCCCAACCACTGCTGTGGAAGTTGGTAAGTAACAAGACCTAGAGGCTTAACTGGGCTGAAACACAGCAAGGCTCTACATTTGTTTGGGAATCTCAGCCTCCACCCCATAATGGTTAGCAACTTCAGTGAAAAGGGATACAGTAAGCCTGCCCTGTCCTTACCCACAACATAAGCTCAGCTCTCTTAAGGCAAATTCTTTTCTGCTCCCCTGCAAACCAAAGCAGCCTTTAACCACCCGGAGCAACTTTCCATGTATTCATTTTCTCTCCACAAAATCCACATTGGTGCCTGTCTTTACAAATGTATTCAGCAAAACCAAGGGCAAGGAAGAAAGTGCTGTAAAGAATGAAGAACACTTGCCTCAACACTTCCTGTGGTAGGCACAAATCTACCCCCTGCTAGGGAGCGCTCAGCAAAAGGTGCAACCTTCCATGTACAAAAAAGAGTCCTTTTAAAAAGTAGTTCCCTCCCATTTACACAATGTGCCTGTGAGAATAGTTGGGCTTTAGAATTAGCACTATAAGCGCCAACCTCGTACAATACAAAACATGCCTGCTAGAGGGCCCAGTATCCCTGAAAGGGAGTTCTAGCGCTTAGATCCTGGGGGAGTGTGCGCACAAACTTCACTCACATGCTGACTGAGCCAGCTCTATGTAATCCAGGAAGGCAGCCCCTAACCTCTTCCAGGAGTGGCAAAGTGGTGCCATGCAGGATCAAGGGCAACATGCTGTCCTCCCCAGAGTGCATTCCTGGGAGTTTAGCCTAACCTATAGCAAGCCTGAGCATGCAAACCTACAGTAGCTGCATTCTAACAAGCCCGTTCATCCACAGAAGAGAGGCCGGACCAGAGTTCTGCCAGGCTAGAGAGTAGATCTTCTTACAGGCCACCTTCCTGCAGCTGAGGCTGCTTTAAAGATGTTCATGAGGAAGGAGACTTTCTGTCCCTTGCCTCATCTCTACCTGAGGAGTTGCTGCAGTGTCTTGGGAGTGATGATTCATCTCATGCCATAAATGAAACAGGCCAGTTAGAGTGCAGCAGGCGCACCCAGCAAAGCTGTCTCCTTCTACCAAGGAAGAAAGTCTCATTAAGCAACAGGAAAGTGAGGCACCAGTGAATCTTCCACCTGTTGTATACAGAAGGTGTTCTCGTATTTGAGCAGGCAGGGGATTCTCTGGGCCCTTAGCCAGTTTCCCTAACACCATTTGTCTCAGCACATTTAAAACAAGCTATAAAACAAAGGCTGGGTTCTGGTGACAGGGACAGACAAGAGTATCTACCCCTTCACCTTTGCCTCTTATCGTCCATACATCCCAAAAACCAGGAAGCTGAAGAAGACAGTCACCCCGACCAAGGAGACAGTGGCTGGCGCAGTGAAGAACTGGCGGTAGTTGATGCGGCAGTACCAGATCACAGCTAGCATCACCACAAAAACAGGGAGCATCAGATTCCCTAAGTTCACTGTGACCCCTCCTGCTTCTCCTGGGGTGACCACAGAGTCTGCCGTGGGCAAGCTGGTGGTCTGAGAGTGGTGGCAATGGATCACACAGTTGTCCATGATATTGAGGGAGCGGAAGGTCCGTGCCTGGTCCTGGAGTAGCTGCCCCTGATAGATAAACTTCATCTGATTTTCTCGTCCTGGAAAATATTTGCTTTTCAGGAAAACAGAAAGAGGCAAAGTTTAAGAGAGAGGCCTTAAGCACCAGTCCTACATGCAGCCAAGCCTGGGATAGTGGCTAGGGATGTGAATGACTAATTGGCAAATCAGTATTCATCACCCTTACTGAGTGATGCTCACTGGTAACGAACGGTTAGCTAGTGGGGGGTTGAGTAGACCCTGCCCACCACAGGCCGGGGGCTTTTCCAGCCTGGTGCTTGTTTCAGCCTGGCTGGAGCAGCCTTCATTATGGCAGGCCAGAATACACCCTGCTGGTGGTTGGGCTGATTCCTCCCCTCCCCCCATTTAAGCGATTTACCAGTTAAATATAAAGTTCGACCCGTTAAGCAGAGTGCTCAACCTTGCTCTGTTGTTTGGGTTTTATGCCCGTTAATGGCTTAAGTGTCATGAGGAGTCAAATGTCGTCAGTAAGCAATGGTCAACCTCACAGTCCTTCCCAAAACACAGCAGCAGCGACGAAGCCATTTATGTTTGCAGAATGGGGAAGTTACACGGCTTCTGCCTGTTCTAGCTACCAGTGAATAGGAAAATGAAACCACCTTCACAGTGGGTTCAAACATTTATTTGTGCCTTAAACCAGCCATATGAGGCTCCAATCCAGATTAGCCCCGCGTAGCCATTACCAAAACATGGAGCATGTAAGGCACTTTCTAGACTAAGACGACAAGGTTCCCTGCCCCAAGATGATTGTCCCACGCAAACAGCAAGCAGTAGCCAAAGGCAGAAGGAGGGGGCAGGGGAGAAGAGGACAAAATATCAAGTGGGGCGTAGGGGGTGGGTTCTAGTTCCCAGTTTTGCCATTGCCTTGCTGGGTGACCTCAGGCAAGTCACTTCCCCTTCTGTGCGTACTGCTGAGAAGGGCTGTAAGAGCCAGGTAACATCACCGACCAACAGTTATACAAAGTAAGAGAAAAATCCTTCCAAGCCATTGCAACAGGGAGAGCACAGGCCTAGAAGCCCCAGAGTTCAATTTAATTGTACTACACATTTACGGTCAGGCAGTGCCTAGACCAGACACACCCAGGAATAATCGTCGCAGTACCCATGTCTGTGCTTGAGGGTGGGAGGTTTGTGCACTTTAGTCTGGGCCTCAGATTCAAGTGGAATCCTTTCCCCCATTGCCTGAAGTTCCATCAAAGGGAGTCTTACCTCTTGAGAACACCCACAGTGTCCTCCGGTCTCACCATGGCCACCTCTTCTGTATCATTGAGGAACTTGAGACGCACTTTGATAAGCCCAGAGCATGGCTCGCTTTCCTCCCTGAGGCGTGACAATGGCAGGGGACCTTGGCTCTCTGGACCCAGCTGTTCAAGGGCACTGGACTCACTGGATGATGTCCTTTTGGGCAAGCCTTGTATGTTCAGCAGATGGTCGAGGCTGGAGTCAGAGGTGCTACCACTGCCCCCCTGCTCAACTGCAGGGCCCAAGTTAGAGGCCGCACCCTCTTCCTCGTCTGCTTTTTCTTCTGCACTTTCAGCAGACCCCTGGGGCTCCGCGGGTTCTGGCGTTACTGAGCTCCCCACATACCGTTCGACATGGCCAAGATGGATCACTGAGGATTCACCTGTAGCTACAATAGTTCCCAAAAGCTGGCTGCTTCCATCTGCTACGTAAGTGGAAAGCCATGCCAGAACCAGAGCCAGGACAAGAACCACCATGCCAGCCACCACGGTTACTTCATCCCCCACGCCTTCAATTATGGTCATGCCAGGGGGCTCCATCTCTTGGCTTCTTGCAGAAGCTTAGCTGCAAAGAACAAGGTAAAAGGAACTCAGCTCCAGCCACGGACCAACAAAAGGAAGATACTCCTGAAGAGGAACAAACTGAGGCTGTACAGAGCACAAGGGGAGACTAAGAAAAGAACAAGGGAATGAGAAGCTGTAGTTTCTGCCTTTCTAACTGTGGAGACCCTTGGTTTGTTTTAACACTGGTCCCCTTTCCTTAAAGGGTTCTTATGCTGTCTGTTTTTAAGTGAGACATGCACAGCAAGTAGATAAGGGAACCATAACCAGCCAAGTTCACATGAAAGAAAATTAGACAGGATCTCCTATTGTACAAAATAGCAGATGTGGCAGAAATAACTTCCAAAACTACTGTTGCTTTGTTTTTATGCCTTCCCCGAATCTAACAGCCACATTTGAACACAGTGTAGCTGTTTTTCTAATAGGTGAACTTTGCCACACAATTCCTTCACTGAACATCAACAGTTGCTCTCCTGAAATGGGGACATCTGGCCTGTTTTGTGGCAAAGTTCACTTTTTAGAGTTGATGGGCAGCTGCCCTTAGACTATCTCCTAAATAAACAACAAATTAGTGAGAGGGGAAGTGTTCCCTTACATGTATCTTTATTACTGGCGTAGCTGAAAGAAAAGAAAGATAATGCAGAACTACCGAGAAAGTTAACACTGGTAGAAGCAAAGCAAGACCAAAAAATTACCAAAAAGGCAAGTCAGCTTTTTCCACAAGCAGCTCCTTCATTAATGTTCATGTATAAAATATCCCCAACCAAATCTCAAGTAAGCTGGCACCAAACTAAGAAATAATAACCATAACCAATTCTTCCATGGTGCCCTCCACAGAAGGTGTAAGCAGAACATGTGAGCTGTAATATGAGAACAAACTAGCACTTCTCATAGATGAGGAAAGAATATATTCTGCACCTTAACCACATAACTGCATTGGACAGGTCACCACTGTACCTCAGTTTCCCAGTCTGCAAAATGGTAATGGTAATATCAATCTTTCATAGGAAGATCATGAAGTTCAGCTCATTTGTAAACGTCTCAGAAAATAATGCAGAAATGCTCTTGAATGATACAGAAAGATTTTAAGTGATTGGACGCACACTGTCCAGATACAGGACTCCTCCTTCTATGGATCAGGGAAAAGGCATGCCCACTGACAACTCACACATTTTTAGGAAACAAACACATTGCCAGGGTCTGCAGTTACCCAGTTACAGGGACTTGCTTCTAACTGATGTGGAGAAAGAGGAGTTGGCTGTTTCTTTAGCTAAGACTTGGGCTTGAAATCATAGAAGAGAAATTAAACGTTGGGAACAAGGGTCACATAGATTACTCCCTCACCCAGTTTACAATCATGCATTCAGTACAATTTACCATAGAAGCCTGTGTGATCTAGTAATTAATGCAGGGGACTTGGGGTCAGGACCCCTGGGTTGTAGTAGTCCTGGCTCTATTGTTGAATCATTATGTGACCATGATAAATCACTTTCCCTCCCAGTCTCTCACTCACTTTCCTCAACTGTAAAATGGGAATATTCACTGCCTCACAGGTGGGCTGCTGCAGGTTACACAGAACTTGTGAGAAACATAGGGTTGCCAGGTGTCCGGTTTTGAACCAGACAGTCCAGTATTTGAGCTTTCTGTTTGGGAAAATGAGAAATGAGAAAATATAAATGTCCAGTTATTTTCTAAATAAGATGTAATGTAGATTGTGATGTAATGTCAAGTATTTCCGGTATTTTTGTTGAAACCATCTGGCAACCCTAGAGAAGCACTAGTGCGATTCACACACACAGCACCCTTGTCAGTCTAATCTAAGAAAACACCAGTAGGTGCCTGGCTAGGGTGCATCAAATAGAATGTGATATCTGTTTTCAAATGGTGTTTCCGGTTTTTTTAGAGAGTACTGAATCCCAGAGACCTTTGCCACAAAAATCTATGACTAATGTAGGGGGAGAAAACACCTACCACAGCCAGGGACACAGGGTTGCCCTCTATCAATCAGCCATGCAGGAATCCTGCCTGTTTAAGGAAGAAATTCGTTTCCTAGCCCTCCTTGACCCTGGACTTTCCCTGCCCATTTCCATGATCAGGGGACTGACACCTTGCAGTAAGGCTCCTCTGCTTCAGGGAAACCCCAAAGCCTTTCAGGCCTGGGTGGGGAGGGCACATGGGGGGAGGGGGGGGATTAGCCTCCCATGGACTGCGTGTTAACACCACAGAGTGGGGAGATGGCACTAATG